AGGCAAATTTTTCATATATTTGGTATTAAGTCAAACCTTCCACATCCTGTTTGTCTAGTTCGTTTTTGGACGGAAACCCAAGACTTTACATTTATTCCTATTAACTTTTTTTATGTTTGATTTGTTCCATTGTTCCAGATGCTCTGTCATCATACATATTTTCAACCCCTGCAGTGTCTTGGCATTCACAATGCGATCAACAGGTCGACACCCCTAATGTCAGTGCTTAGCAGGCAGGGGTTATAAATAAATTTTCAAGACATATTTTGTTTTTACAAGCTTATATCGATGGAATACTCATTGGCAATATTTGGGTACAATTTCTCATATACCTAACGATCCTTCTAAGGATATGTCACCTGGCATACTACATATTTCTCTGCATTATGCACAGGACATCATGAGACAATGCAATTCTGATATCCGGGAGAGTTCCCCTACAGTTTTTTTAAGTATAGGGATTAGAATGGGGATTCTTCACTCTGTACTATTGACATTTGTGGTTGGTAATTCATTGTGGAGGCTGGGGGCTGTCTGATTTTATTGTAGGAGGTGTAGAGCTTCTACCCAGTAACAAAGCAATAGTAACTCCCGTCCCACCACCTCCCTGCATTTACGACAATCAAAAATGTCTCTAGAGGGAAGAATAGAAGTTCATTGGATTAGACAAAGGGAAATGAAGGGAAGGGAGGGTGGATGGGAATACGAAAGTCAATAGAATGAATAGAACATAACTTTCCTTTGCTCATATATGAACGTACAACCAGTGCAGCTCCACACTGTGTACCACCACAAGAATGGGATCCTAATTGGAATGGGTTGTACTCCATGTATGTATAATATGTCAAAATACACTCTACTGTCATGTATCTAAAAATAACAAATTTAAAAAATGTCTCTAGATATAGCCAAACATCCCTTGGAGGCAAAACTATCTTTTCCCATTAAAAATCACTTTCTAGACTATGCATACTTCCAATAGCTAGTAACCCAATCCACCTGTTAGGACTATCATTGATCTTTTCTTAGGCATAGCTACAAAACAAAATAAAACTTTTCACAAATAACACCAAAACAGTCCCACATCAGGAATTAGATATGCAGAATAACTAAAATAAGATAGGAAATGATGGGGAAAATAGAGAAGGATAATATTTCCTAAAATTTGGAGTTTTTAGATGAATCCTATGTTAAAACAGTTACAGAAAAATTGAACTTTTGATAGGAATTGTATGACTTAAAAAAAGTCATCTATAAAGGCTTTTTTTTTAACCTGGATGCTCATCAAAGTATTATTTGAAGCAGTGAAAAATATAATTGAATTAGTTGTTTGACAGTGAGAGACAACTAATATATTATTTGTTGATTTCATAGGATATTAGGCAGTGGCAAGATGACATAATTGTGAATTATTAATAGCATGGGGAAATATTTGCAAAATAATGCTATTTTTTGAAAAAAGCAAGCCATTATGTGTATAGTACAGCAATCAAGTTTTCAAGGACATATATGCATAGAGAAAGGATCATGAAAACATTAATAGTGACTATGGGATTATGATATGAGAATTATTTATAATTTTAAGTCTTTATACTTTTTTATAAGTTGTGGTTTGCATCTGAACTGTCCCTCAGAGGCCGTGTGTGAAAAGGCTTGGTTGTCAGCTTGTGGTGGTATTGAAGGTAAGGCCTGTTGGAGGATGCAGGGGGCTGGAAGTGTGCCCTTGTAGGGGATATTGGGACTCTGATCCCCTTCTCTCTTTTCCCACTCCCCTCCGCTCCCCCATCTCTTCCTCTCTTGGCACCATGACGTGAGCAGCCCTGCTCCACCACATGGTCCCCACCATGACATTCTGCTCTACCACAGGCTCAGAAACAATGGAGTCAAACAAATGACCATGGACTGAGACCCCTGAAGTTGTGTGTCAAAATAAACCTTTCTATTAAATTGTTTTACTCAGACATTTAATCGCAGCAAATGGAAAGCTGACAAACACGTTTCCAAAATTTTCTTAATTAGCTCATATTCTCTTGTAAGTGTGTGTGTGTGTGTGTGTGTGAGAGAGAGAGAGAGAGAGAGAGAGAGAGAGAGATGATTCTAGAAAAAAATGACCCATATTTGGTTAAGTGAGAGAGTAGTGGTTCTTCACTCGTTTACAGAAGAGTACGCCAGTGAGGTAGGATACTTTAGAGAGGGAACATGAAAAAAGATGACAATATTTGTAGACTAGGTCACTTGCTTTCCTTAGGGGAAAAAAAGTCTGTACATAATTTTTCATAAAATAAGAGGTGTTTTTGTTTTTTTTTTTAATATTCTGGCTTCATCCTGTCCCTCCAAACCAGTGGTTCTCAGACTTTAGGATGCTGAGGAGTCCCCTTGGGTTTATCCATTAAAGTTTCCTGGGCTCCAACTCCTGAGATTCTGATTCTGCACATCAGCTATGGGGGCTCAGGAGTTTCCATTTTTAACAAGCTCCTCTAGGGACTCAATCTGACACAGGTGGTCCCTGGACCACATTTTTAGAAACACTGCTATAATCAGCCATGTGGCTTGATTTGGATATTTTTATGCCTCTATGATCAACAATTTCTTCCTGGTTATGCACTAAAAAGAACTCCAGTGGTTATGCTGGTAAATTGACTCTTTGAAATAATGATCTATTTATTACATTTGCCAATCTCTGTGTTGTAAATATCCCCACCATGGCCCATTTCAAGCTACAATGGTTTAACAACTAGTTCAGAAAATTCTTGGAAGTTTAACAATTGGCTGGCACAAGCTAGTTACAGCACTGTATGGTATATACATGTATATTTTTTTAAAAAGGGTATGCTAATAATAAACTATTATTTTACCTATGACAACTGGGATGGAACAAGTAAGCAATAGAATAGCTTGAGTTGTTCAAGGAAACCACATTCCAATGTATTAGAAAAAAAGTGCAATAATAGCTTTTATCACTCTTTCCTATTTGATTTTATTTTTTTCCATAACCATACCATGAAGAGTGATATACTCACTGAGTTCTTTGAGAGTTGTGAATTGCTTTCCTATGGATGATGGAGAGCCAAGGAACAGAATTCTGGGATTGGGAACAATGCCAAATGTTCAGCCTCCACCTCCACCCTCCATGGCCCTGTTGAAATGTCCTGGGTCATTAATTCTATAGCACCCAACCATAAAATCAACTCCTTCAACTTCTTCCTGTAGCACATGATTGAGACAATGTTGTCTCTAGGAAACCCATTTCAGATGTGTTTTATGTGTTCATCTGTGGGAAGTGGCCTAAGTGGGGGCTAATAGTACAGTTCTTTCAGTATTTTGACCAAACGTATTTTAAGAAAATTGGACCTGAAGCCTATATAGTCAGCTGAGGCGAATTTACAGCCCTGCTTTTAAGAACAAAACTCCCTCAGGCACCTGCTTCCTAAAAGCAAAACCAGAAAGGAAATGAACTCTTGCTTAAAGACAACCCACCTTATTTTATGGGTTATCAATTTTCTAGTTGGCACACAGTTCCCCATCTACTAAGAGGTTTTTGCCCCCTATCTCAAGCAAGTACTGAGTAGCAAAAAAAAATTGTCAAGTCTGCATTCTAGAAAAGGGCTCAGTTTCCTGAAGATGAGACACGGGACACCAAAGCAAAGTCAGGGGAACAGCAAAGATCTATGATGCAGGCTTACCACGCAGATGTCTTTGCCAATACATGCATTAAAATCGGAGCCTGAATTACATTTTCCATTACAGGATTACTGAATCTTGGGCTATGATGGAGAAATATATTTCTTGTCTTTGGGGTGGCTCTGTCAGGTGGATAGTCAACAACAATGTAAAACACTTGATTTCCTTTTAACTGCTCTGGTGACCCTGGAACTGAGCTTATCAACCTCTCAAAAATGAGAAAGAACTAAATAGCTTTTCCCCCCTCAATATTGATAAGTCGGCCTTCTCCATGAAAACAGACTACAAGATAGGGGTCAAAGGGTAAGAGTAGATACTCTTAAACTCCCGTGTGCTAGAAAACACAATAAATAGATGTGATTTTCTTAGTACACATAGTAGACCGATTAGATAAATATAAGAACCGATCTTTAAAAACTACAAGAACTAATAAGCAAGTGAACAGATGAATAAATCTAACTGCCATATAATGAAGTCAGAATCAAAGGCTTAAAATTATATGCTAGCTTTTTCATAATCTCGGTCTTTTTCCAAGCTTTATTTAGTTGGGAAGGCAAAGAATTTTCAGGAGAAATATGAATATTCAATTACATGTTTCAAAATCAGACATTTACACATCCACTTGGGATAAGTGCCAGAGTTAACATCAAAGATATGTGGAGGACCTCTTGTCCAAATGGAACATTAAGCTCCTCAAATAGGAGAATTCAGCCCTTGAAAACTGTCATTATTTCAGTAAATGAAGCCGGCCCTTTAACAGATGGGCAACATACTTTTCAGCTTGCTGATAGCCTAATAAAAGACAGTGGCTTTTTTTTTGAAAAATGAAGGACATGTATTTCTCAAATTACACTATCCAAACGGATTGAGCAGAATAAAATTAAGAAGGCATACAACAGCCTGACGAAAATTAGGAACAGACTATGGGAACTTGATGGTTATAAATATCAATATCAAAATGACCTTTGCATTCAAAGAAGAAAAAGAAAGAAASAAACAAACAAAAACAGGTTCATTGTTTAAACCACAAGGAAAATGGGCATTTTCAGTCATTTTCATTTACAGTCAAAACTGGGAGCAACGGATTATGGAATTATAGGTACTGATGTAATAAAAATGCAAAATTAATTTCTTCTCAAAAATATAATTAAAATTCCCCAGAAAGGCAGGTTGGTTTTATGTCAGCTGTGTTTTCTTTYATATGAGTCGACCTGTGTGTTTCTTAAAGGAAAAGAAAATCTCTCRAGTGGATTGTTTCAATAACCGAATTAACACAGACCACAGACTCCAACCAAACAGGGCTCGACCCTCCTGCTCACCGTTCCCTCTCTTCTTTCATTCTCTCCAGCTCTTCTTCTCTCAGGTTCCCGGGCTTCAGAGTRCCTTTCTGGTCAGCCTTTCCGCCCTTGTCTTCTTTCTTCTTTCCAAATCTAGTGAGAGACATGGAGGTGTTAACAATATTCAGTTGCTTTTGTGGCAACTGTGAGATATATGTGAGTTGCGTTTGTTGGGCCATAATTCTTTATTGTAATGAGATCAATTTGCATGAGATGGAGACAAAATAATGAAAGCAGAAAAATAATATAGTTACTGGATTCCTCTCTTTCTCTCTTTTTTCTTCTTTTAAACCCAGATATTTATTAGGCATCAAGTGCAGTATCACGTGATTAAAAGAGTAATCATTTTGAGCTATTAATTCAATAGAGTGAAAAACGGAGTGATTATTGTTCATGTATGACTATATATTGACCCGTTTTCTACACAGGCCCCTACAGCACCAACGCCATTGTCATTTAAGGTTAAATTCACAGGAGTATATAATGAGGGGGCAGCAAGGGACCTCACTGAACACCTAATTCAGTGAAGGATGGAAAGCTCTGGGGGGGTTTGAACCTCCCCCAGACCTCCTGCTGGCCTGTGACAGAGCTGGGATTAGAGCTTGATTGCCTCCTGTCCCTCTTTCCTTCTGCCCCTTTCACTCTCTAATGTAGCYCAGGCTTCCCAAGAGGGCTCCAGGGTAGTATGCTTGGTGTCTGGGTAGTTAAACGTGCACAGCAGCAATCATGATGCTTTATAAGAACACAGTGTTTTCTCAGCACGTTTAGGAAAATGGAAACTGCACAGTTGAAATGGAAAACAAAGCTGCAATTAAATTATTAGTAGGAGACACTTGTATGTGACAGGCATTTCCCCCCAATAGATGATGTTTTCTCCAGATGCAATCCCCCACAGTCTTGATACCAACACACGTGAAAAAAAGAGAATGTCTGGTTGCTCTACTAATAATGAGGGTTGGGGGAGATCACTCAATTATGCACTTTCTCCAGTTAAAGATTTTGAAACCTGTGAAAACACCATTTATTTCTTTTTTCTTATTAAATAGGAGCAGATTTTAACTCTGTGTATCTGTACATATATAGCTCTAGCCCTATCTATACACCTGTCCATCTGTTCTCCCATCTATCTCTTCCTTCCTGTTTACATTTATCTATCTATCTATCTATCTATCTATCTATCTATCTATCTTTTATCTATCATCTATCTACCATCCTTGTACTTCTATTTATCTATCTATATCTTCTTTTCTCACCATCTATTTCTCTCTCTCTCTCTCTCTCTCTCTCTCTCTCTCTCTCTCTCTCTCCTCTCTCCTCTCTCCTCTCTCCTCTCTCCTCTCTCCTCTCTCCTCTCTCCTCTCTCTCCTTGGAGATTTTAAAGTTAGAAGTGTCTGGGCTAACCTTACTCCCCACCTCCTTCTGATACATACATAGGACATTAGAATCTCTTTACATGAGAATCTAACATACATTTTAAAGAAAGTGCTATACTCTAACCAGAATAATAGAAGAATCACCAAACTGTTTCTGTCTTCTTTGGGATCCTAATAAAAGTAGACAGATATTTGTATCTTTCTGGAATATGCTTGAGTCATAGCAGAGGTTGTTGGTTAATTGCTAACTCTGAGCATCACACCTGGAAGATGCCATTGCTAATATTCATAATCCTSCTGTTATCCCAGTACAGATTGCATCCTGCTCTCCCTAGAAGTCTCTCCTGGTCTTGACTCTTCTGCCTGTTTCTCAATTTGCAATTTAAGTTAGCAAGTTCTCTCTCATGAATTGTCCTCCTACCTACCTCTACTTCTACTGCAGTTCTTCTGCTAGATTCAGTGTAGCCTTGGGACCCGCTTCACCAACTATCAGCTCTGACTTCACCTTATGATCTCTAAGTCCTCAGGCATCTTTTTACCTCCTCTTTCTTTTCTTTTCTTTTTTTTTTTTTGCCTCTCTTTCTGAATCCATTTTTTGTTTCATTTCACAAAAGCAACAACCTGATATTATTTATAGAAGTAACTAGGGAACAGAGGGAAAATAAAGACCAAAAATATATATCYATAAGAGTGTAAGCTTTCAAATACATTCAGATCTGCTGATACATTAAAGACCACTCCTGAGCCTACAAAGCAGGAGATAACTAAATCTTTGGACAAACACATCCTGTAGCTTTCTGGACTCATGCAGAAGAGTCTTAGGCAACACCATTTTTACTCTAAATACATTTATGGGAGAAATTAGTACTATAGTACATCACTTAGATAAATAATTCTCTCAAATGCCATTGAATATAATAATATTTGGATAAAAATTCAAAAYTGTGGGGAGTCAGGGTAGAAATAATGCCTCAGAGTGTTGATGAGGGCAAAAATGTTACCAAAGCTATAGATATCAGGATACTCCAYGTCCTGTATATTTTACTCTAAATTTGGAGGTTTGTGTTTTTTGAGATATAAGTAGCGTTGTTTTTGAAGGATAAAATTTGCCTATTYATACTCTACATTGATCCTTATTGCCATGTCCCATAAACAGTTTCTCCTTCTGGCACCTAAGATATTTCACTTTTACTGCAGTTCAAAAATAGCTTGTCATTGACTCCACCATAGTGAAATGTGTTTGATAAAGAAAATATTAGTTTTAGCCAAGCATGGTGATACACACCTGTAATCCCAGAGAGCAAAGCTGGTAAAAGGAAGCAAACTGATTCTTTCCTCTGATGTCTCAGAAATTGGGGGCTGGGGTTGTAGCTTAGTGGTAGAGTACTTGCCTAGCACACATGAGGCACTGGGTTCGCTCCTCAGCACCTCATTAAAAAGAAAAATGAAATAAAGATATTGTGTGTCCACCCACAACTAATATATATATATGGGCTGGGAATGTGGCACAATGGTAAGCGCCCCTGGATTTCAATCCCCAGTACCAAAGGGGGCTGGCAGGGGGAGAAAGGAATAAAATATTAGTTTTAAGTTGATTCTACAAGTATGGGTTTTCTTTCTTTTTTTTTTTTTTTTAATCTAGCAAGAACCATCAACAAGTTGGGCTGGGGATGTGGCTCAAGTGGTAGCGCACTCGCCTGGCATGGGCAGGGCGCTGGGTTCAATCCTCAGCACCACATACAAATAAAATAAGGATGTTGTGTCCACCGAAAACTAAAAAAAAAATATTAAAAAATTCTCTCTCTCTCCTCTCTCTTTCTTAAAAAATAAATAAATAAAATAAACCAAAAAATCCTCAACAAAATATTTTTTTTAAGAGAGAGTGAGAGAGGAGAGAGAGAGAGAGAGAGAGAATTTTTAATATTTATTTTTTTAGTTCTCGGCGGACACAACATCTTTGTTGGTATGTGGTGCTGAGGATTGAACCTGGGCCTCACGCATGCCAGGCGAGCACGCTACCGCTGAGCCACATCTCCAGCCCCATCAACAAAATATTAAAAAAAAAACAACCATCAATAAGTCAACAACTTTCAGAAATATTATAAATGTTTTGATTTAAAGTTCATGACCTTTCATTAAATTTTCAATTAATAAGGGCAGAAATTGCTGTAAAATTTATTTTGTTGAAGAGAATGGCTACCAGTTACCTTATTTCRTAAACCTTAGGTAGATTTAAGAACAGAATCATGAAATAATTTTCAAAAGGATTGCCCACACTGTTAATATGAGGAGAGACCTAGAGAAGCTAACTGGGATCTATTTCTGAGTGTACTGACGTGTTTCTCCAATTTTGCAGTCAGATGACTTTGTCATCGGGGTAGTAGTGGGGAGTGGCAGTTAGGGGCATCAGAGGAAAGAACCAGTTTGCTTCCTTTTACCAGCCTTTGTTCTCCTTTCTTAGCAACGCTTTTGGGGGCCACACCACAGCCATCCTCACTTCCCTGWAATAAAGAAAAGAGACTTGGGAGGTTCATCCCCCCATTAGCTATTTTTGGGCGAAAAGTTATGGGGACCCTGACTGGCTACAATTACAGCTCTGCCCTCCAGGGTTTCCAATATCCCCTGCATTCCATGCCTCCCATTATSTATTACCTCAGACATTTGAGGGTTGACCACTCTGGGGGAGGTGCCTTAAGGAAATTGTTTATAGGTCAACCTTGCTTTATATAAAAGATATTTTCCTGAAAAACTCTGTGCAAACATATGGTTTCAATCAATAAAATCTTATTTTACATGTACCTGGGTAGCCTGTTTATAGAATCTTATGATGGATCTTCTGGTAAAGTAGAAAAAAATCACCTTTCAACATATTCTTTATGTAAATTCAGATTTTCATGAATTATAAATATGCTTAAAACACCTGCCCCTGTTGGTTKCTAGAGAGGTCATATAAAACAGCTTCACAGAAAACTTTCCCTCCCTTTTTCCCTCCTTCTTTTTGTTTCCTTCCTCCCTCCCTCTTTTCTTTTCTTTCTTCTTTCTTTCATTTATTCATTTAAAAATATTGGTTAGGCATCTTCTATGTGTCAGAGAGTCAGAGGCACTGGGTATAGGTTTGTTTTAGTCAACTYTTTGGCCACTGTGATGAAAGGAACTAACCAGAACAATTTTAGAGGAGGAAAAGTTTACTTGGGGGCTCATGGTTTCAGAGGTCTCAATYCATAGACAGCAGGTGCCTTTCCTTGGGGCTKGAGGTGAGGAGGAACATCATGGTGGAAGAGTGCGGCCGTGGGAAGCAGCTCACTCGGTGATCAGGAAGCAGAGAGAGACTCCACTCCCCAATACAAAATACATAGCACATAGCTACTGAACAACCTGCTCCAGACCTATCCCACCAGCCTCTGGCCACCACTCAGTTAACCCCATCAGGAATGAATCCACTGATTAGGTTAAGGCTATAACCCAATCATTTCTCCTCTAAAACTTCTTACATTATTTCACATGAGTTTTGGGGGGATGCCACTTCAAAACCATAAAAAGGTTCCTACTGGGTTGAGATGCAAACTACATACTATCTTCATAGAATTTACACTCTAACAGAGCACTCACCAAACAAGCATAAATATAAAATCACAAATTGTGAAAGTGCCAAGRCTATTGTCGTGGGAGAGACAACAATGGAGAATTGATAACAGGGGAAGGCCTCAATAAGCAAAAATA